ACTAAAAATAAGTATTTACCTATATCACATGACCATACACCAAATGGAAAAGGGACAGACAACTGACTCACCATGTCAGAGGTCTATTTATGATTTACCCAACAGGTGGCCTTAAATATGTATTTATTATATATTTTAAATGTTAATTTATATTTAAAATAAGATATTAATATTAATTTTATCAGTTATATTATGATATGTTTTAAATTAAATAATTAGTAAAATTAATGTTATTTTTTATTTTATTAATATATAAAAATATAATAAATGTACCATTAATCTATACAAGTTAAGAAAACCTAAATCTTATTTATTCAGTGCTAGGCTTCTTATGCCCAAATTAAAAACACCATCAATTCAATTTGTGACCAGCGCTAACTATACTCGAACGCCAAGGAATCCAAAGCCAAATGCTTGGCCAATATTGATTTCTTTATCAGTTATATTATAATTACAATAATGTCATATAATATTATATTTTATAATTTTAACATGATATTAAATAAATATAATTTATTATTAAATAAATAAAAATATATTTTTAAATAATAAATTAATTATATAATATTATAAATTTATAATATCATATAACATTATAATTATATTATTTTTGTTCTTGACGAAACATTTGTTTTGTTTCTTACAAATTTTTCCCTTTAAAGAAGGATTTAGTATTTTCTGGCCAACAAGGATTTGGGATGTTGAGGCCTAAGATTTAAGCTTTAAGATACAAAAACAAAGCAGATTTTTTGGCCTTTATTTGTTTCTAAATTAAGGTTTATTTTCTTACCTTTCATGCATTTTTTTTTTCCCAAGCAAAAAACAAAATAGTTATAACCAACATGTTCATTTATTGAACGTTGTGTACTTGTGTGAGAGGAGAAGGTTCTAGCAAGCTTGCAACAGCAGAACAGCTACAAAATCTCAATACAATTCCATGATCATATCCTTTCTTGCGGTACTAGTGTTGGCCACCGGAAGTCACAGAGTATGGTTAATAGCATTCCTATCTCTTGGATCAGATTGTATTTTCATTTATTTCATTCATATTTTACAAAATGAAAATGTTTTGTGCAATTTGACCGGACAAAACTAACCATTAAATTAAAGGTAACTGGTACGATTTGAAATGCATAAAAGAAAACACTTTACAAGACAGTGGATATACACGCATATGCTAGAAGGTAGAAATTTAAGACAATCCAACCTCCATTTATTGTTATATTATCATATAAGACAGAACCATTAAAGTTAAAGAAGCATGGTTGTTGGTGGATGAGACGGCTACTGTAGTTCCCAAAATCTACCACATTGCATTGTTCTTGCCTTTGTTGCCACCATACAAACGGAAGAGACTGAAAGCAGAAATACAAGACAGGAAAACCATGCCAACACTGACTATTAGCGCACTCACAATTCCTTCCCCAACTTGGCTGCAGAACTGTCCGTACATGTTGCATATCTTCATCCATTCAAGCTCTGGTTGCCCCAACTTAGCAAACACTGCTGACTGTGCTGCAGCCGCCACAGCAGCCACTGTCAAGTACGCCATTGCCTGCACAAAGAAGTTACACCACCCATTAGGACAAGAGAATGTTAGAATTAGGTAGTAATTTGTGCTTTCTACCAAATCACATATATATAATCACAGTATACCAGACAAGGGAATTGCATTTAGCAGTGTCTTTCCATGATTAATTGACCAAAAGAGGTAATTAAGCTCTTCTTTGGTACTGGATATCTCATAAACAATAGTTAGGTTTAGACCCGAATTAATCCAATGAAGAGACAACATCATATTTGTGTTGAAAGCACTCCTCTCGCATATGCCACAAATGTAAAGATTTCAGCCAGTGTATATAACAGTACTGGAGATTTGGTACAACTAACACTATGCTTCTTGTCCTTCTGTCCTCCCTCAGAATATCTTAATTAGTTAAGGGTATGCCTCAGACTTCAGAAGGGATCTATTTGCTGTATAGCAAAAATGAAGGCAGTCCATGAAAAATGCAGGTAAACACATCATGAAATGCATTGAAAACTCTTAGGAGTTAGATAGGTCTATTAAATGCAACCATTACACACATGGCACACATGCAATGAACCTTTGGGGGTAGATGTAGTATTGCATTTATGATCCTCCCCTTCCCCTCTAGAATTCTATTTCTTGGGCTCTCAAGCCAGTATCACCATGAATTGAATGCTCTACCACCAACACACAACACAATCGATGAATTCATTAAATAGCATAATAAATGTCAAGTATTTTTGACAATTAAAATTAACCACGAATTTGTATTTTTAATCTATCTACTCCAACAACCATTTATTTTAATGGTAATTGTGAAAATTTTTGTAATTGTGAAAATTTGAGCAAGCCAACATTACCCCAAGAATTATATTCAATGTAAAATTAATTAATAATAAATAAAATAAACGCTCTTTATATTTAAATCACATATTTTTTTATTAATTTTTCAACGTGAGATTTTACTTGTTTTTAAGTCAAGTACTTCTCTGCTAATCTTCTCACTTCTTTGCTAATTTTCCCCATTTTCACTGGTGAGTGTGAGATTTTACTTGTTTTTATGTCAAGTGCTTCTTTGCACTTGTTTTTAAGTCAAGTACTTCTTTACTAATTGTCCCAATTTTCACATGAGGAAACCCAAATTCAGGAGCATGGACTCTAATATAATATGGAAATTTAAGTATATTATCTACAACAGAAAACTTGCATATAATCTAAAACTAATTATCAATAACTAGAGTAATCTTTCTTCTATTTAACTCATATATTTCTTTATTAGTTTTCCAACGTGAGATTTCCCCACCTAAGTAATATTCTCACCAAGAACTTTGGCCAATTTTGAATTTACAAACTTAACTACTATTACTTTGTAATCCAATGAAATCCACAAACCATGAAAATGAATGACTTCTTATCTTTAATTCTTGCACCTAATCATTTCTCTACATTGCAGGTTTTGGGGAAATAGAAGCACAGAAGAAGACCATACCTGATCTCCAGAGAAAATGGCCCAAGCTAAAGGCTTGTTAAAGAGCACACTCCCTCTCACCAAACCCACAACACAACGCACAACTTGCACCAATGAGTAGGCAGCAGCTATCCCATTTGCTAACACCAAAAATCTGCACAATATGCACCAAAACAGGTCAAGAAAAATGAACAGAACATGCTTAATCTCAGAGAGAGAGGGGGCGGCGGGTATGAACTTACACAAGCGCTTTCATGTCAGTAAATCTGGCTTTCTTACTAATTAAAAAGATTTCTTTGACTTGGCTATCAGTTCCTATAAGAACAGCAGCAAGAACACCCAACCCACATATCAAACACCTCAAAACAACTTCTACAATTCTTACTCTTCTATCCACCACCTTCATATTTGTACCCTGGTAAACCGGAATATTCCCAGGACTCACACCAATACCCAAATAACTCATCTTTTTCAAAGAAAAAAGAACACAGACCTCGTCTCACATAAAAACCCCCCAAGCACACCTCCTTCCCGTACACCCAACAGCACAACTTAAATAGGCATTCAGAAAAGCCCCCTCCTTCTCAATTTTTCAGTCAAAGGGTTTTAATTTTCCTAATATTTAGCGACGGACCTTTATTGAAATACAGTGGCGTACGTGTGCCAAGTGGTATAAGCTAGAGGCTCCAAAAACGCGCAGCCCGTACCAGTAAAGGGCACATCATCTCATTGCCAGAGGGCAAACGTCAGATTAAATGAGACCTAATCTTGCATTTAAGGCCATTGTAGGGATAGGGAAATTGAGACGCACAGGATGAGTGACATTAAACAATACTACTACCACCACTTATCTTCTTTTCTAAAAGGGAGAACTTGTTTGGCTGGGAAGAGGCAACAGTTTGTTGTCCCAAGAAAGAGTCAGATAAGGTGTAAACTGTAAACCCCTTCTCAATGAATGAAGGGTATGGTATCCTCTGCAAAGTATAGACCACATTGTAAAAAAGGAGTCATCTTTGCTCGCAATTAAGATACTCAAAACATACAATGATTAAAGCTTTGATGAAATGATTAAAGTGGCATACTTTAACACTTCGATGCCCGGTTTTGTTCATAGTGGTGGGGCCGTTGGCCGTTGGGTAATGGGCAGTGGGCAGAGGATATGGGTTTGCGTTCACATTTTACCATGATGTAATGCTCTCATCAACATGAACATTTTCCCTTTAGACCCTAGTTCAATGTGACAACAAGACAAGCCTCCACAGGTGTGGGCATGTTTGGTGTGTTATTTAGTTGGTAACGGAGGAATTGCGCCATTGATTGACTGAATTGTTTCATCTCAATCCGTCTTTCAATTGATTATTTAGCATACTTTTATTATTCTTTGATGACTAAAAGATTGGAACTTTTTCATTTATATATATAGCCGATGAGAGGTTTAAATCATTTTTGATGAAAGTAGAGCATTTAATGTACAAATTTATTAATTAACGACACGTTTTAACAATTAAAAGTTTTAATTTCAATATCAAAGATTTTATGTCCAAATCATGAGACGGGTCAAATGTACTACTAAATATTAGAATCTTTGAGTCAAGATTTTATCTTTTCTTTTATTGGTCTTGAAAACTGAAATGGTGAAGAGATAATGAAGAAAGTTGATAGATCAACCTTTGAATGGAAGGGTAATGAGTTCCGATTGTCTTCACCATACTATGACAGTTCTTTGATGTTTGAGCAAAAGGATATACTATGTCCCCAACCACAAATATTATGTCTATGAATTTGAAATTTACAATCCATCTCTTATATATGCATTAACATACCCCAAACATTGATTTTTATATGTCTATTGAAACTTGAAATAAAGCGTATCAGAGCAAATTGCAGACTGCCGTGCAGAAGCTCTCCACCTAGGCTGCAGAGACAGCCCAAAGTTGTGGGATTTGCAGAAGGGAGGAACACCTTGGCAGAATCTCAAACGCTCCGGAAACTAAGCAGATCCTTGAAAAAGAAATAAATTCTTCACTCCTCTGTAATTTAGGGAATAGCTTCAAATTTGCATGAACCAAAACCTGTCATCAATCAAGGATTTGAGTCAAATTCTAACATTCTAATATTTATTTATAATTAAGAAGAAAATTATTCCAAAACTAAATCATTTCAATAACTCTCATTGGAGAATACTAAAACATCTTATTTTTTCAAGCATAAATTAAGTTATTTTTAGTCTTTTGTGATAATTTATTGAAATAATATAGTTTTATAATAATTTTTTTTTTTTAATTTTTAAGAAGTAAGGTAGATAAATATTAATTCTTTAAATAAATAGAACTAAGAAGTTTCGAAAAAATCAATGTAAAATTGAAGTAATTCTTCTTTCCAAAGAAAAACTAGGATAGAAAATAAATAGTTCTCTTTATGATTAACTTTCCCATTTTAATTTTTGTTGATTTCATTAACTTTTGAACAAAATTAAGTTGGAATGTTGAGTTAGTGTATGATCTTACTCGGATCAAGATCAGTAATCATTGCAGCAGCGTTGAAGTAGCATGTTGCTCCTTGCTTCTTGTACTTCTGATAGTAGCTATTGAAGGCATAGGAAGCATGGTCCCTCACAGTGTTTGGGAGGAAACATGGTTGATGTGCCTGTATTTTACTGCAATCTGCTCCTCCTTTTCCACAAGCCCAATCCAAGGCCTTCTGTAGCTCATCATCTGGAGTCTGCTCATCAGCTATGCACCATTCCTTGAATTGTGCATCTGACAGTATTTATATTGACATAAATTCATCAGCCAAAATTAAGAAAAAATTAAAAAAAAAAATTGAAATCATCGACCGGATTTACCTGTTTTCTTAAAGATTAAAGTCACTATAACAAGGGTTAGCAGAGTACTTAGCAGGGTAGATGACATTGTTCTAAATTGAAAGGCAGGACAATGTCATTCAATTTCCATTAATAGAATTACCCATACTATATAAGAAGCAGCATTGAGAATGGATGGAATTTTTGAACTTGGGATAAAGTAGAGAATCCTCTGCATCTTTATGTTCCTTCAATCTCACTGCAAGAATATAGGCTTTGTCTGGTCCAAAAGATAGGAACAGTTTGATATGAATCTAAATGGGTGTTTGATGTAGCTTGTGCTTTTGTCCTTAAGAAGCTCTTCCAGCTACAACAAACACCCATTAACCTTTTGAAAGAATAGGAGAAGACAATCCCTAACAAGACATAACTTTAAATTTATATTATTCCAACCAATTGCACCAAACACCTATTAGCCTTTTAAAAGATTATGAGAAGGTAATTTTTAACAAATTATAATTTTGAACGTGAATAACACAAGGATCTCTATAAACAAATATATATATATATATATCTTCCTCTCTAATATCTTTCTACTGTTTTTTTTTTTTTTTAAATAAATTATTAAGAGGCGGGCTCGAAACCCACCCATGAAAAAAGAAGAATACACTTCAAGCTAGTAAGATGCCAATTAACTTGAAGGCCAGGTGCAATATCTTTTTACTGTTTAATAATCCTAAATGCAAGAAAGTAAATAAAATGGCTATATATATATTTATATCATTTAAAACAAAAGATTCACTACCTAAGGCTAAGGTGACGACAAGTTTTCTACCTACTATGGAATCACATGAAATTTAGTGTTAATGCGTGGGCCACGGACTGCAATCCTCTCCACTGATTGATCTTTTGGGTCGCAGGGAAATAATTCACCTTTCGGGCTGTATTCATTTATTAGGATTTGACCATTTTCTGTAAAACACATGGGACTCAGCCCTAGGATAAGGGAAGCCACAGCCACTCGGAATTCAGATTGATTTAATCCAAGGTTTCGCTTTTGTCACCCCAAATTCGTTTATTCCTAAGAAAAAAAAATTGATTTGATTTAGGCAAATCAATGATGTATTGAGTGCAACCAGCACTTCTTATTATATTAGAAAGTATAGCATCCTAGTTAAAATGGCATTATTATATATATATATATATATTTTATATTGATTATATAATGAAAAACAACTTTCTTCCATCACTTGTCTAAACTTATCCGTATATCATGTAACTCAAATTCAGAATCTTTTATTTTCAATGAAAAAAGATTATCACTAAATTATTTTGATCGTTGGTTAAGATGACATTAGTATCGATTAATAAGCGTTGGGCCTTTTTAATTTGTGTTTTTAATAAATAAGTGAAAAGTGTATTTATTATATATTTTTATTATTAATTTATATAAAAAATTATAAAAATAAACTTTATTTTTAATATTAATGTCGCAAAATAATTTAATTAAATTGTTGATAAAACTTAAATCAGTTTTTATTTTTTCCAAACAAATTAATGATGAAATATACAATAAATGCATCTAAGAACATAAGTTAGAAAATTCCTTGACTGATATGCTGATAAAAAAAGAATTATTATTTCTTATTCAACTCTAGTAAACTCAATTTTTAATTTAGAGCGATTAAATTTAGTTGTATATATATATATTTTTAAAAATTTATTTAATGTAATTTTATATTTTTAAAAAATATTACAATATATATTAAATAAGTCCTTGACTGATATGCTGATAAAAAAAGAATTATTATTTCTTATTCAACTCTAGTAAACTCAATTTTTAATTTAGAGCGATTAAATTTAGTTGTA